GGCCTTTATGGGCTGCGACCCAGGACCAATCAAAAGTTTCATCTGCTATTCTCATCCTTTTTTAGCGAAAGAAACATGAGTAACTCCTAGTATTTCATAACATTTTTATGGCATTGGAGTAAAAACAAATTGCCCCCCAGTGGCACAGCGGTATGTATGCGGATATAAAATGCTAGAAACCGGGTTTCGATACCCGTGGTGGGCAGAGCACAGATAGTCCATTGTGTAGCTTTGTGCTTAACTTCAAAACAAACAAACAAAGCCATTGCCTGACACCTATTTTCAGTAAAAATAAACACTACATCCTTTTTCTGAATTACTGAAAGTTAAAATCGGGCGAGAATTGGGCTGATAGCAAGTTTCTTTTTGATTATTTGGTAAAAAGGATGCAAAGTCCAGCCACTGATTAATAACAAAAATATTTTATTTCTGTTGCAAATTCTTCCACTAACTGAACGTCCCCCGATGGATTAGCGGTAAGTTGACGGACTGACGCGAAAATCCGGGGTTTGATTCCACGTAGTTGACAGAGCGCAGACAGCCCATTATATAGCATATTGCTAACACGGAGTAAGATTAACGGTCACTGATAGACTTAAGTTTACAGTCGAGAGAACACGAACGTAATATTTATAGCGCTGAACAATTAAGTGACTAACTAACTCAGTAACTCACTCTAACGGACTCACTTCATCTTACCAGTAAACTTAATATATAATTCATCTGTTCTGGGCTAACTCGTGTTTTTTACCGCTCAAATTATTCTATAACTTTGTAGAAACTTCCAAGCATTCAACCACGCGCTCATCACGTGAGTCATATATTCCCTGGGCAAACAGCAATATAAACGTCTAAATTAAAAACATGGCCTTTAACATTGCTTTTTTTACGCTCTCTCCCAGAGGGGGGAAGGAGAGGGGTATTGCAATCGGGTCCGTGTGTGTCTGTCTGTGTTTCCGCACACGTACCTCGAAAACTAATTGATAGGTGTACACGAAAAAGTTTCACAAGATGGGAAGTCAGTATGGGACAGTCCTCCCCAAATTTAGTCCGAATTCGGATTCAAGATCACTTTGAAGCATTTTTTTTTATAATGGGGAGAAATGCATTTTCGCGATTTTGGGTTAACTCTGTAAAGTGTGATCGGATATGTACCAAATATCATGGGCACAAAATGGTTGAGACTCCTCATCACAATACAAAATATGATCCGGATCGTTGATCACTCTGGATTTGAGAAGGATTTTCTGAGTTTTTGAAGGTGAAATTTGACGTTATTCAGTATAAACGTATGTAATCTCGAAAAGGAGCGGCGGAGCGATGGTATGCAATCTCTCTGGTTGCTTTTGTTTGTTTGTTTTCAACTGAGCTACTGCGTTACCATTGCTTTATTTTTGTCTCATGGTTATCAGAATTTGGAAGAGCTTTTGTATTTTATCAGTGGAATTGCAAAACTCAGACTCCGTTTATTGCCATTTTTTTAGGTTGCATTCTAAACACGATATCATACTTGATGGCCTATGTGTTATCGAAGCTTATAATATAAGTAATTTTCTATGAATGTGATTCAGGACTATTAATACCAGATACATGAATGCAACAGTATTTTTACGTTATTCCTATACACCCACTTTTAAATTAAGAAGATGTACTTCAGAATTATATATTTGTTATGTCTGCTTTCAAGAGTGGGTGATGTAGATGACAAAGATTTATACTTTGTTCATTCTATCCATACTACGATCGATTCCCTTCAGTGTAACATCAGGGTTTCCAAACAATCCTGTACTTCATTTGAGGCTTATAGAATTTATGTTATAACTTTTCAATATTTTGCGCAAAATATGTAAAACAATTCAACTACTTAATAGCCCTGGCCTCTCTACTTCCCCCTTCCCAGTACAAATAAAGTTCCCCGTTTTTGTTTTTTTTGTATGCACAAGGTCGAATGGTTTCGTTGTCGCTGGTTATGTGCGCATGCGCTTCGCCGTGTCAACAGTTCTGCTTCTAATCAGCGATGCCAAGCTATGGAAGTAAAATCCCAGTTGAAGGGTAGAGGAAATGGGTCAGTTGGTTGCATCTGTGGGTTACAGGAAACCAATGGTGGGTGACAGCTGAGAAACTTTGATACAGCAATTCATTTGTACGTGTTAGGTGATACAGTGCACGATTATTATATTTTTGTCTTTATTCGTTTGGGTAGTCCCATCACATAGTTGTGGATCTAATTTTTTTTCCAGGCTTTGTCTGAGATAATTAATTGACTTCAGTTGTTTTCATCTTCCACAACTCATATCTTAATTCTAATGCTGTAAAAACTGTTGCATTTTTATTACTTTGGTGAATAGTGTTGGTTTTTACTGCTGCTTGGAGTATCACTATCAGCTTTTAATAGTTGAGTTTGTCTTCATCTGTATTATTTCTTAACATAGTACTTGTGTTTAGTTTAACAATTTCTTGGTTTATCATCGTTTATTAGACGTGTTTGTATGCACAGTTTCATTTTCCACAAATCATAAAGCATTATCCTCGTTCAACATGCGTATATTTGAAAAATATAACATGAAAAGAGATTGAACAGGATCAGCAGACCTTCAGAATTTACGACACAAATGCCACTTCCCCCTTTCCCCTGTTATTACTGGTAACATTTGGGCATCAAATTTCAACAGTGCTGTATACTAATAGAGGGGTGGTCACGTTATAACTTGCATAGTTTAGTCCCAAGAGCGGACATTATTGCTTACTTCAAAGTTATTTGTATTAAATACCTGAGAAATGTAGTAGCATGTGACAAACATTAAGAAACTAAGCCTAAAAGCGAAAGGCATTAAGAGTAAGCTCTATTTGTACATATAATGTTTAGGGACAAAAATGAGACTTATTGGTCCATCTAGGCTGTACCATCCTCTTAACTAAAACTATTTAAAAAAAAAGAAGAAGAAACTTTTTTAACGTATTTATTTATTTAATTTTACTTTTTGCTTGATTGTTGGAGAACCAACAATTGGACAATCCAGTTACAAGTCTTTGGATAAACATTTATAATGTGTAAAATATTACTATTCATTCTGACAAACTAATATTATAAGGCTTTTTTGTAACTAAAAACATTTCAGTCACATTCTTGTAAGTGAACATGAATTAATCACGTGAAGTTTCTGAATAAAAATTATTTACATTTTTGTGTGTGTATCTTTATTTTGTCACACTGATTTCGTCGCATTTTAATAAATATTCGTACTGTGTTGATAAATATTAAAAAGAATCTGGAATACTACTGTCATATATTTGTTTAAATTCACATAACCAGTGTTCTTCGTGTTAGAAATTTTATTTAAATTGGTAAAGAGGCATTCACCTATTTTGATTAATATGTACTGTTATGTCGGTGTTTCTTTTATATCCTTTTGTTTTCTCTTTGACTATGAATATAACAGAGAATGCAACTTTAAGCTATAATGTATATATCAAATAAAGTAACAGCATTTATCTTAGAAGCTGTAATTAGTTTTTCGTTGCATATGAATGTGGCCAAAATTTATCCACATAGAAAGTTTTTTAAGGTGTTCTCATGAGTTGCAGTTGTATTAAATGGTTTAAGCACTTATTGCGAAAGTTCATGTTTTTGAAATATTTTCAACAACTACTGATTTAATTTTACTTCAATCATTTTAATAATGTTCATTGCACTTGTGTTTTGTTTCAAGTACAAGATTTTTCTTACCAATTACCTCCCCCGGTGGGTCAGCGTAACGGTAAGTATACGCACTTACAACGCAAACCTACGGGGTTCGATTCCACCTGGTGTACACAGCAGATAGATAGCCCAATTTTGTTTTGCTCTAACTAACACCTAAAACACCATTTCCAAATACTTAGAAGGGATCGTATAAATAGAGTTGACTTGTTACTCCTTTAGCGCCATCTGTTAGGGATAAAATAAAAACCATTATACAATGACAATGTTTTATAAAATTAAATTTCACTCTTTTGTCATATAGTTAAAACTTTCAAACGTAACTTTTGTATTCGTAATGAGATAATTTGAAGAATTTTCACTGGTTATGTAGTCTCAAGGAATGTTATATCTTAATTTTTAAGTAGAAATTTGAAAAAAGATACCATCTTTAATAAGAGTAATAATAAGATTTTGAAGATTAAAGGAAGCTAGTGGTTATGAACACTTTTTCTTCAGATATCAGCTTTCTAATTTTTGTGAAAAATAATGCCAATTGACTTACTTTCAGTTAAAACTGTAAAAACTAACTCAACCAAATTTAAGAAGCAGATGATTTGCATTTAAGTAGCAAATACATTCACAAAATATCAAGCAAATGCTGTAATAGATTTATTAAATATAAAATTATCTCGCATAACTTTTTATAGAAATGGGTGCTTTTAAACACCAAAATTTTATAACAAATGTAGTTATTTTTAGAGGTTGTCAAATAGGACACTAGGTTTTATAATTAAGGAACAAAGTGAATATGTTTTATTGTAATCTTTATATGATTAATAATTAACAAAATAATTTATTTATATGGTTATTGAAAAACACTGAGATATCTTGTGTAGCTTTTAAAACATAAAAATATCTTTCTTGGTTCATAAATAATGAGGACATCTATCAGTAAGGTTATATGTTAATAAATAACAAGGGGCATATGTCTTTTTTTGGTTGATATAAGTTAATGAATATGGTCAATTGAATAAAAAACATTGTGTAGTTTTTAGAAATTTGGAACCTAGAAATACTTTAAATGACAAAGAGATTTGTCTCTAGGATCAATAAATATCAATGACATTCATCTCTGTTAAAAAGTAAAAAGGGCATTTCATCTCTGTGGTTAATAAATAACAAGGATATTTGTCTCTAATGTTTAATAAATAACGAGGACATTTTTACAACTTTTAAACAAGAATATTTTCTAATAATATCTTAAAAACCAAGAACATCTTGTTTATGTTTTTAAATAATAATAACATCTATTCATTAGCCATCAAAACTGAAGACTTCTTTGATACTGGAGTTATGGAACGTGTACAGCATGAACTCATGGAATTGAATGGACTCACTCAGGTAGACCTTCAGGGAACGTCCAGAACAGTTACATTCCACAGTATTGTAAGCACAAGTTTCGATATGTTCTAGTGTTATGTTAGAGTCATACTATGTTATTGTAAATAAGAGACATTCAACACTATTGTACTTGAATTATATTTTACAATATCATTTCATTTAAAGCACAACATTTTATTTCATGTATCATGAAGCCTTGATAATGCCATGGATAACAGAAAGAAACATTGTGTATGGCATCATGAAGCTCTGATAATGCCATAGATAAAAGAGGAAAACACTGTGCATATGGCTTTGTGAAACCGTGATAATGCCATGGATAACAGAGAAAAACACTGTGGAAATGGCATCATGAATAACTGATAGAAACAGTGTTCTGTTTACTTTCTTTTTACAGCATTTAAATAATATATTTTTGAAATATTGTGTACACTATTTCTGAATATATCAACTAGGTTACATTACACAATGTTGTGTGTCAATTCTATTTTACAATGCTATATTTAAGTTCTTTCCACAATAATATATTCAGTACACACACACATACATATATATATATATATATATATATATAAATAGTATCATATTGTTGGATTAGTTATATTATATTTTCAATTATTCTTTTGTTGATACACATCACAATGTTGAATTAGTTTTGATATGTGCATTATAAATAATTTTATGTATTTTTGATTTTTGACTTATCTTTGTTTTTATGTTCCATAGCTTATGTTATCTACTTGTAACATGACTTCATTTTGAGAATGTGCTTTTGAACCCTTCAAAAATAAATAAAATAGAAAAAAACATGACATCTTTTATAGCTCTTTTGATTAATTTAAGTATTTGCTAGTTTCTGTCGTTACAAAACCCATGAAATAAGGACTGTTGTCTCAAGCACTCAAGACTTGATAGTTTGGACTTTCTGCCCAGCAGGCAAATACACAGGTTGAGATTCTCCTTAATGTCATTTTTTTTTCTTGAAGAAGAAAAAAAAAAGAACAGTATCACACAAGATGGCAAGCCATTTATAACATTTCTGATTTAGTTACAAACTTAATCTTGACACATTCCACCAAGTAAACATTAAATGACTCTTGGATGCACATATAATTTAAGTGTCCCACCAGTTCCTGTAATGATGAGATCAACCAAGTAGAAGACTCAGACTAGTAGCATTCAATATATATATAAGGCTAGTTGAGTAGGGCACTTACCTGACAATTATGGATGTGGGTTTTGTTAAATTTCATCTTTTAATCTACTTATAATTTTCAGAAAAATTAACAGGGGTGATAGCTTGACTTATCTAATAAGACTTAATATATATTCTTGAGTAAGAATGTATAATAAGCTGAAGAAAATAAAGACATGAGCCGAATTTATATTTAATCACAGTTTTTCAACTAATTAGCAATCTTAAAGCTTCAGGGATAATAACTGTGACAAGCTAAATAGGTTGGCTGATTTTAGTTTTTAAGTTTATGTACATAAGCTTAATCGTTATCTAAAATTCTCTTTGAACCAGTTTTATCTTCGTTTCAGTGTCCCTTGAAATGCCTACATTCACCTTTTTCTTGGAATATTTAACTTTTCAAAAAGTTAACTTGACCTTTTTAAGATCCATCTTTTGTGAGTGTTAACAGGAAATGGTTCTATTAGTATTCTTATTAAAGAAAACAGTTGAAGTTATTTAGGTATTGATTATCAAAGTTAACAAGTGTTGGCTCTGTATGTTTTAAAAATAAAGTTTTGTTTTTGTAATTTTGTCAATGTTGCTAATAGATGCTTGTAACATTATTGGTCAAAAATATTGATTATGAAGTTATCTGTATTTTCTGTGGAAGTCTGTAAATATGATTGAGACAAAATAGTTATTTGTTTTGAATTTTTCTATGTTTTCTGTAGAATTTTGTGTCAATATGACTGTGTAAAAAATTACTAGTTAGTAATTTATCTATGTTTTCTTTAGATTGTTAATTTACTATTTCAGGTTCAAGGGCGACGAGTGGAGGAGTCTGGGAAAGTTGCAGTATTGCTACATTGGTTACCAGAGCAGATGTAAGTATAATTTAATTCTTGTAAAATACAAGTAGCTTTTGAAGTTAGTTGATATAATAAAGCTGTTTTTTAAGTTATCACTTATAAGCTTTAAGTCTGTTATATTCAGTAAAATTAAAGTATTATAAAGCTATTCTATTCATCGATCATTATTACGCTTTAGTCTGTTATAGTCAGTAAAATCAAAGTATTATAAAACTGTTTTATTTATTGATCATTATTTAGCTTTTGGGTTGTTATAGTCAGTAAAATTAAAGTATTATAAAGCTATTCTATTCATTGATGATTACTAAATGTTTAGTCTGTTATATTCTGATGAAGTTAACGAATTCTAAAATATAATGAAGCAGTGAGTTAGCATAAATATGTAAAATATTTTAAGCCATACAAAGTTACTTGTTTGCTTTTTATACCTCTATTACTTGAACTCATACCATATTTTAGCAGCTTGAGAGTGTTTTCAGAGATGTTAGAAACTGACTGATTTTAATTTTTAATGAACAAGACATGTACATAACTAATATATATATATATATACAGCAATGACATTGCAAAGAGAAAATTGATCATAAATGGTACATACACAATATAAATTTTAGTAGATTTCAAAATACTTCACTCTACGGGATTTTTAGGCACTTTTACACTTTTAATAATAAGCCTTAAGGGCATCTCAGCCAAAACAAAAGTGGAATACCAAATAATGTCTAGGAAAAAGTTCTTCAAAGAAATATTTACTACTCTTTAGATATCTAGCTTTATTTTTACTCTAGTTTATCTTTTAATAAATATTTAATAAATCTTTTATTAATATTTAACTGTTAACACTATTTCAAACATTTCTTTAAAACTAACTGTATCTAAGGTACAGTCTTTGAGTTCTAACTGTTGTACTGAACTACTATTGTGTGGTTGTTACAAGGTGGTGCAAGTAAACTAAACTTACTTTTAGAAATGGCAAATTTTAGAATCTTATATTTTGTTCTTGGTATCCAATACAAGGATAATAAGTTTTAAAGTAGACATTCCATTTGGGATGTTCCTATGAAAACTGATAGTGATTCAACCGATTGAACCACATGAAGTGTATTCTCAACCATTTTGATAGCTATTCAGTCATCTTTTTTGATCACTTAAGGATTCTTGATAGTGATTCTGTTCCATCAGTTACTTGTGAAGCCTTGTTTGGGTAGGGTTTAAAAACATCTATCCTCTCTAAGCAGACATCCACTTTGTTCAACTGAGCACACATCTCTGTAAACCTGGAAATGTTTTGCTTTAACTAATTGAAACACAGATATGTAAATTTAATTTCTATGGATACTCTGGGCAGAGCATAGTATATTTTATAAAGAAAATCAAAACCACAATAAAACTGGTAACAAGTTAATATGTTCTACCCTGTATCAAGACTCAACTTACAATGTAATCATTAGAAGAAAAATTGGGTTCAGGTGCTAATATAATTAAATCATATTGAAAGCTATTAAGTTTTAACTGGTTGCAAGAAATAAAAATTTAGTTTTTGTAGAGTTAATCTACTATAGAAATAAATCAGATTTTAGTGTACCATAGTATTTGCAGAAGGTTAACAACTGAGTTTTTTAATGACCATTATGACTTGGGAAGTAATAATTTTGAATATGTAATGTGCTTCCAATAACCTTACCAAATAGCAAGTTTTTAAATTGTTTACAAAAGCCGTAGTCATTGAGTTCCACATTGTAGAAAACCATTCAGCTACTACTGAATGGAAGTTTTTTGGCAGAAATTATCATACTTTGTATAATTGTTAATAATTTAATTGATTATGAAAGTTAAAAATGTGTTCTGTAAAGGGTCAAAATTTTAATTAGAAATATTTGAGTTTAAGTATAAAATTATGTAGGAATATGTGTAGATTGGATTTGGTAGTACTTCAAGGCATTTTACAGGATGAGTTAGAACTATCAGTTTGTTTCTTAAGTTATAGTTACTTTAATAAAAGTGAATCATTTGAAACACCATATAATTGTTGCTTGGAGATATGTAGCTACTAACTCTGTGATATTTAAAGTCAACTGAGAAACTAGGAACCTTCATATTGCTCTATGAAGGTGAATGCCAGGAAATAAATATATAAATTTGGTGAAATAGAATCTAATATACTTGGACATGTTTAGATAGTAATGAAATAATCTGGTCAATTTAATGTGTGTCCTGCAATGACTGATAATAATTCAACAGTGGCTTCTTTATCTACTTTCTGACTACAACTTTTATTGTAGACCTTCTCAGTACTTAAATTCTCTGTTCTGAGATTTGGAACCTGTTTTGAATTCTTTTTTTTTAACCTAAAGGAAGAAACACTACAATCAATTTCAAAACTGTCTCAGTGACATTGCAAATTGATATTTGACTGATGTAGTAGTCAATGCCATACTCTCTTCCAGACTCATCCCAAATAGTAGCCTCAATAAAGTTTAAATTGTTATTTTCCAAAACTCAGAATCCACCCATCCATATCCATGAACAGGGAATCTGGTACCTTTTTTTCTACTTCATCTTAAGATCATGAGTTTGCAACTTTGAGATGTAACTTTGATAGAAATATTTATATGAGAAAATAAAATAAATAAACATAAGAAAATAAAATAAGTGTTTAATATTTCTGAATTATTGTAATGTTTTCTTTCAAATATTCATGACTCTGCAGTTTCCCAGACGAATGGGTGTGTGAATCAGATGTTGCCCAGATGTCCCATCTCACCATTCCACTAACACTTCTACCTCGTGATGCCTTAGACACATTACATCCATCTATGTCAACATGCTCTACACGGAAACGCAAAAGGAAGTGATTCCTTTGGAATGCTTGGGACATCTACTGCAGTCAATGCATAAATTAGTTCTTATCTCTCTGATTTTTGTACTGTGGTCAGTAACTTGTGATCTTGTTCTCCAAGTTACACTATTTGACATGGTGTTGCTGCACTACTAAATACCATATAAGAATAAATGCAGTTGCATTCTAATCAGAAAGGATCTTACTATTTTGACAAGTGTGGTGCCTTGTAAGTAAGTGCTGTATCAGTCACCATGCCTGTAGATAGTGTTCTGACAAAGAAAATAGATGAAAATAAACTTTCGTGTTTTCTAAGTTCACTGATTTATCAGCTCTGTAAAAAATATTTTATTTTGATGAAAGATGTTAAAGCCTTTAATCAAACAGGATATTTAGCAAGATAATATGGATACACATGAATTCAAGTAATTCACCATAGCTTCAATATGTATCATATGGTAGAGCACATTAGATCTAAAAGTGACAAGAGGCTGCTGTAATGTCAGTACTGTATGCACTGGAATAATGTTGAATGGACTTAGAAGTGTAATGGAATGAAAGTAAAAATAGTCATAAGACAACAAGATAATGCAATTTTTTTGTTTTTCACAGCTTAATATTTTCTTATGTTATTTAACTTCAAAACAAAAATCTGCATTTTATAGATCTTGTCCAAACTAGACCACCAAAGTCAAGATCTAGAAAATGTGATCTCCTGTTTAGATTTTAATTATTTAATTTCATATCTGATTTTTTTTACACAATTGTAATGTATCATGTTCTGTTTTTACTTTAGTTAATGTACCCATGGTTATTTCATCACTGAGTTTTGTTATCTTTCTTCTCCGAGTGGAGATAAAATATCCAGTATCTGCTTCTTTTTTTTTTTGTTTGGTCTTGAAGTTGATACAGTGATTGCACTGACACCAATAAAACTATTTCACCACTCTGACAGTGTGATTAAGGTCCTATATCTTGTTTTATCTCACTAGAATGTTTGTACAAACTATGGTGCAGTCAGTGATGTTTTAATACCAATAAGTTTAGTTCAAGTTAGTTGTCATATTCAAAGTGTTGCATTTTCAAATAGCATAAATTGACATTTTTTCCAAATAGTTAGATTTTACTTAATACAGCAATCATTGATTGGGCTTTGTGTATGTTGGTATTTTATAAGTCATTATTCAGTTCTGTTTTACTGGTGGTTTTGTATAATTTGATCAGTTAGCATGCTACATATTGTGATGTCTTCTTCAACATAATTAATGTATGTTGTTTTTTGTACTGATAAATCATATTCAAAATTAGCTTAGACACAACACTATTATTTCTATTATAACTCTAGGGAAGAAATTCTATCAGTTCTGTTGCTCAAAGCTACAATGATTCTATTTTATTATTTGTATTGGTTAGTGATCAGTTCTAATTGTGTAGGTGTTGTGTTATGGCATCTGCTGAAGTAGCATAAGCATTTCATTACTAAGGCTTAAAAGCATGTAAAATGTTAGTTTTTTTTTTCTAGTTTGGTAACAAAAAGTTGAGCTTGAAAAGTAAGTTTTAAGTATCAGTGCTTATAACTTAAGAGAGTTAATTATGTTTTAACTTTAATTACTAGGTTATTAGTAAATACATAAAATTAAATATGTTTGACTTTATTGATTAGTTAATATGTGCTTATATATAACCAGTTACATGATTTCTTCAGATATTTTCTACTACTTGGGTGTAGGTTTATCTGCATATTTTCACAACAGGTCTTTTTACAAATAACGTTGGTATTTCTAGATAATTTGTCATTTCCAGAACAATATTGTTTTATTTGCAGACTGGTAATTTAAAGAAGATTATTTGAATTTTAAATCTGCTTTCAATAAGTGATTGTAACTTTACATATAATTTGTGTGTGTTTATAACTCTTGATTCCATTAATGGTCATTCATCACAAGAAAATTTAAATAAAGTAAACCTGGGCCTTTCTTTTACTAATATTAACAATGGCTTATTAAAACATTATTGTTCTAGCCAAATTATAATGTCAGTATAATTGATTTTCTCGTTGCTAGCCTACTGTAATCCAATATATAAGTGCTGGATTTGTTTAATTGAATTTGAGAGGAGACTCAAACATACGTTTACGTATATTGGAGCTCAGGTGAGGTAATACATTCTAACATGTGACATAACTCCTGCTGAACACTGCCATGACATGTGACATAATTTCTGCTGAACCACATGATATAACTCATTCTGAACACTGCTATGAAGAAAACTCCCACATTCTAATATGTAATATAACACCTGCTAAACACTGCTTTGACGTATGACATAACTCCTGCTGAACATTGTTTTGACATATAACATAATTCCTTCTGAACACTGCTTTGACATGTGACTCAGCTGTTGCTGAATACTGCTGTGTACAAACTCCCATATTCTAATATGTGACATAACTTCTGCTGAATACTGCAGTGAAGTAAACTTCCATTTTTTTTCCCATTGAAAAAGATAAACCCAGATTTTTTATTTGAAAGACACAAAATAATCTACTATTGTCTGAAAGCTGAAGCCCATTAGTGTTTGTAACTGAAAATTTCATATATGGGTTTTAGTTTGTCTGTGAGATGAAAATATTAGGGTGGCTGCAGTCATGCTATAGTTTTATTGAGTGACTGTAGTCATGCTATAGTTTTAATGAGTGACTGTAGTCATGCTATAGTTTTATTGAGGCCGTAGTCATGCTATAGTTTTATTGATTATCTTACCCTTTGTCTAATTATAATAGATACGAAATAGCTTTTTTTACCACAAATTAGAGATAGAACCTGTGATATGGTATTTCTATACATTGCCTATTAGATATATTGATAAGCAAGTTTATCATGCAGTATGAATGTTTTCTTAAAATATTCAAATATTGGAAGTGATACATATTTCTTAAGTACAGCTAGCTTTTTTCTACTTTTGTGGGTGACACTCCAAGACTATACTCTCCTTTTTTATATTGTTCCAATTTGACCATAATTAAATATGATTATGAAGATATTTAATGTTTCTTTTGTTGTGAGCAGACTACTTGATGCTTCTTAGTAGATGCCTTGAAAACTATTTAAATTTTTTTCCCTCACTTTTTCAACAACTACTTACTACAAGTACTTGTGTTATAAACTGAAAATTTAGTTTCTTTTGATTTATATTTGTGTGAAATTTTGACTTTTAGACCTATTTAATGATAGATAGATGTATATTGGATGAGAACTATTATTAAGTGTCATTAATATTATTTCTGTTCTTATCATTCAAAAGCAGTGCTATGCATGTATTAATTATCATCATATTGGTATTCAAAGCTTTATCTGGCCAGGCTGCTATTTTGAAGTATCACGTACATTTGTATAATAATTAAGGTTTTAGTAGTTGCTACATCTAAGGTAACTAGAAAACATGTATGAAAGAGAATTGTTACCCTGTTTATTGTTCTAAGGTAGCAATTTTTCATTAATTTCAGAAGATTTAAGTCATTTTATATATATAGTTGTGTGAGACAAAGAGAAGCAGAAAATTCCACTGCCAGGAGTGGAAGGGCAAATGTAGAAATATTATTTCTGTATATGTATTTAAAGAGTGAATGTATTGCTATGAGGCTAAATATATAGCCAACAGCTAACAAAACACTGCCATTGTTAGTCAAGCAAGTTAATCACATTGTAAGCTGATATATTTTCTCCAGTGATATTTCATAATGATGGCTAATCCTTGTTTTATGTGAAGTATCCTACCATTACCTTATTAGTTCAGTGAGATATCCCACTCTTAATTAATCTATTTCTTCACTGACATATCCTAGTGTAAGTTGATATTGCCATGGAAATATTCCATTGTAAGGTTCTTTATTTTTCAAGGCTAATCAATCTATACATTGAGCTTAAAGATGTCAGTCTTATCCAACCATGTTTAAGAATCTCATTCTTTCTTCAGACAAATGTAGCATTCACCATGAATTTTCTCACTAAATCCCATTTCCATTATGAGTTTATTTATATTTTTACTATATTCATCCCATAAATAATCACTAATTCAGTGAGTTTTTCTTAATTCTTTTGGAAGGAGCTATAAGAAGCCTAGTTAGGTTTCTCTCGCTTTTCGGTATTAATTCTATTATAAACAAGCCCAGTTTTTCAGGAAGCTGATTTTACTATAAGTAAACTTATGTTCTCCAAAATTAGAAAACAGTTCAGTGTTTTTGGAACTAATGTATTCAAAATTCCAGCCTTTCAGGAAACTAATATCATTCTTGCCAATCTCTACTCTTTTAAGAGATAATCTGAGCTGAACTTTCTTGGAAACTTATCCTACTGCTGGCCAATCTAAAAGTGAACTTTAATGTAGATTTAGTTATGCAGAATGATATTGTTCTTCAAAGGTCTCTTGCCAGTGGTAATCCTCCTCTTAAAACATTTTAGCTTGTGTTATAGTTATTCAGCTGTTTAAAGCTGTATACTAAACATTATCTTTAAAGAACTCATGTAAAATTTCCAGAAAAATCATTGTCCTAAAGAACTCCGCCCATCATAGATTTTCTAAAGTTTTCAGTGAGCTTGTTTTATTTAGAAATAGACTTATGGAAGTCATTCCATATGAGCCTCTCAATCTGTCTGTTAACCTTAGTTTTGTTTCAGAGTTTCTAACTTCAAAGACAGACAGTACAGCTAAACATGTTTTTGTCTGTATGTAATTCGTTGATTGATAATCAAAATCTGAGGTCCAAAAAACAGTCCTGTCTAATTGAGTATGTCTGGAAAAGAGTATGTTTTATGCATCTTTGGAAAAAATGCATATTTGCTTAGGTATTGTATTCTAGGAATTACTTCTAACTCTACATCATTTGCCTGTGGACAACTGTAATTTTGTAATTAAGCCACATACTTAATAAAGCACTTCCTTCATATTATGAAAAACACATTTACTACCAATAAGCATACTTAGGAAGTACAATGTCTCTTGTACTTAATAACAATCTCATTGTGATTACTTTGTGAATGTAACTACTTTGTTAAATATACAATTTTTCATACCAAAATGTGGATTTCTTCAGCTGTTTTGGTTCATCAGATGTTTGTGTAGTTAATAAACTGTAAATATAAGATTTTTTTCTCACATGCCTCATGCCTTACTGGAGTAGTCACTTATGAAGAGCAGTAGCTATCAGAAGCTTCACCTCATCTCAAGTTAAGTAGAGTCAGAGGTCTTCTGAGATTTGGAACGGGTATGTAGTGACCATGTATCCAGAAACTTGAAATAAGGCATGGGTGTGGCACTGAAAGTTTAAACAGCAAGATTACATTAGTGTACAATATTTGTACCTGCTAAAAGGTTCATACTTCGGTTGCCTTTTTTTTTTATTAATAACTGCCAGATGGGTGTTATTTTTGAAACCTCTTGTATATATGTAGTTGTAGATGAGTTATTGTTTTGTACCTGTGAGGTTTGTCTTTGTGGTAAGTTAAAGTATAGTCAGCTTGTTACATTTCCTGCATGTAGAAGGAAACTCTTACAGGAATAGTAACTGAGCTAAATATTTAATCTTTGGTGCACAGTTATTTTTAAATACTGTACTGTGTGAATATATCCATTAAAATAATTTACTGAGATCTTCTGAACAGTGGTTATTTTTTATTTTTTCAATCGTGGAAACAACAGTGTTATTGAAATAACATACTACTGAGTATAAGCTCGATCATATTATAGTCAATGTAACAGAACAGTAGTATTATGATTACATTTCTTGCTGAAGCCCCCATCTCCTCCCCTAAAAAAATTGGTAATGTGCTTTTTCATATCCTAAAAAGGATTTTGTCTTACAATTCAGCCTTTAGGTTAACATCATATGTTGAATAGAGCTGCAACTGAAACAACAAACAATGGTACATATGCAATAGTATACTAAGAACTTGCATAACACAAACCTCCTATTCAACAATGATTGATGATGGTTACATAACAAAGATAAAAAAAAAATGTAACTGTTGTTAGGAACAAATTCTCGTTGATTAAAACTAAATAAAATGGTATTTCACGAAAGTGGAGATCAAAATCTAAAATATTTTTCATGAAGAATTACAATCAAAAGAGAAAAATTTCTGTTTTCAATTAGACGTCAGAAAAACACTTATCCTGGAGATAAATTTAAAAATCAATTTATGTATATATTTTCACTCGCACAAAAGTGGTAAACTAATTTCATGTTGTTATTTTTTAGCAAAAAAATCACTCAATGGGCTGTCTGCACCCTGTCTAACGTGGAGAATCAAACTTCGGATTTTAGTGTTTTAAGTCTGTAAACTTACCGCAGATCCACTGGGGACTTCCTGTTTTGTACTTTTCAAATTAATATCTGTAGTTATATCAGACAAACAAGATAACTTTAGTCTATAAATTCCAAATAGCTCCTGGGTACCTTTGTCTTTTACATTCTCGGTTATTATCTGCAACCGTATGTAGCATCGGGTCCATATGTGCGACCCGATTACTTTCTTTTCAGAAACGAAATATAACTTTTTTTTAATGCTACTCTGTAGACAATACTTGATACCGAAAATCTATAACAGTTCTTTTTTTCAAATCTAATACTTTTTGATAGGTTTGTTTGTTTTGAATTTTCGCGCAAAGCTGCACGAGGGCTATCTGCGCTA